TGCATGCCATTGCTGAATAAATAGCAGCTTTGTATAAGCACTCACCTATAACAGTCTCTTACTCATCGGTAGCTATGCTATTTATGCAGGATTCTTAAAATGGCGTCTGACAGCACTGCACTGCCTCATTCCTGTACTGTAGTTAAAATGGTAGCAGTTTATTCAATAAACAGTAGTAACAGTATCTCTTGTTTAAACAGCAGTGCTATATTCGAAGCAAGCATCTAAAGATCAGAAATGGTAAAGTATGACAGAAGGACACCTGACATCCAAACGTTAACTGAAAAGGCACAAGACGGGGCTTTGTGAAGTCACAGGTTACTAAGGAAATCACTCCATTTTAGATTCGCTCTCCAGTTTGAGCCTCTCATATTTTATGTATCCTCCTGGAGAATCTCCTGCAAAATGCTACATTTCTACTGTGCAATTAAGATACACAAAATGTTTTCTCAGCTATCTACACACGGCAGCTTAAGCCAGTTACCTCAGCTATCGTGCAAAGCCAAAACACAGATATTTCAAGAACATTTACATTATTTTCAAAATCTTCCTGCTGTTCAGTGTATATTCAGAACAGTGCCACAAAAGAGAAAATCAGGGCTGGGAGGGAGACCCTTGGTGTCATGCAGTCCTCTGAAGACCACAAACACTATAGCTGAGCTGAGGCCCAAGCATGGCAACATTCATAGCTACAGATTTCAGAAGCTAAAAGCATAATTCAAGAATCAAATTTGAAAATAAATATTTATAGTGGCTGTATTATGAACATTAACATACTGCTACAACACAATATTCATCAATATAAACCACAGATGCCACAACATCTGAAGGGTTAACCCGAAAATGACAAATAAGCATCAAATAAGTAAAATCCAGTTTCTGTGCAGCCATTTCTAAATTAGACATTAACCCATGAATACAAGACATGTTTGTTGAAAAACACATTTAAAACATGCTTTCTGAACACAATTTCAAAGGCCTACTACAATGGCTTTCAGTTCGTGGTTTGCAGACCCCTCACAGCCAGTGTACTACCTCGAAGGGGGTTACAAACAGCAATTAAGTAAATCAATCCTGTTCTATTTGGCTTAAATCTACTACAAAGGGATTCATGTATTTATGGGAAAATGTTATGATTAACTTTCACAATATTAGGTGATTCAAGCTAATATCCTGAATTCCAGACAAAGAAGAGGGGAACTTTTACTAAAATTTATAACCCTTAAACCAGTAGTGCTGAACTGGCACCGTTATTATGGAAAATTGATTATCACCAATCACTTTTCAGCTACTGGACCCACATGACCAATTGGAAACAAAGCAAAAAGAAGAAAAAAAAGCCAAACAGCAACAACAAAGCAGAAATGATATCACAAAATGGAAGACAGGTCAGCAAGTACAGCCAATTGAAGTCCATGAACACTGATATCAAGAGCTAAATTTCTAATTCAGTTGGCCTGTTTCTAATTTTTGGGCTTGAAGTCCCTTTCAGTACATGCTCCCTCAGTACAATTGCAGGTCTTCCCCTAAATTTCAAAACTCCTGCCTGAAGAGAGAGGGGAAAACATCACATTCAGAGTGGTTTATATTCTGCTTTTTTTCACTCTCACTGTTAAGCAGCGTCATTTGTTTAAAGAAATCATTCATTTTTCCCTAGCGCTATTTAGCTTCCAACTAAAACAGTTTGCCTGGGAAGAATGAAGGAAGCATGGAGCTTTTAAAAAGCTACTGTTTTCATCATAGTTTATAGCCCAGATCACTCCTTTGTTTTTCTCCCACTGCATTCTTTGTCCAGCTAATTATAAAAGTAACAGGATGTTGGCACAAAATAATAATGGCTAATCGTGTTCGTCCTGGGCAATTCAATCTACTCGTTAGTAGCCTGAAAGTTTAAAGTGCAATTATAAAATTAACTGCTAGATACATTAGAATAGTGGCTATTTAGTGCAAGCTGAATAAAACTCAGCTAAATTGCTTCATGTATGCTCTGTCTAATTGTGATATTAACAAGATCCAGTCCTGTAAGATCTTGGGTAGAAAGAATAGGTGCTTCCCCCCCACACTCCCCATGACGACCACGTTAACAAAACCCCATATTCCATCTGTCCTGAACTGCAGAAAAACTGCACAGTGCTTCTTATTATGCAATCTATGAAAGTGAGTGATAACATCATACCTTGACAAAGCACCAAAAATACATGAAATTCTTCAGCTTGGCTGAAATTGCTTAACTTAGATGGAACAAAGATGGTAGAAATTTCCAGAAGGCCTTTCTCAGCCTTGCCACTGCAATTGTCAATCTTTAACCTACCCTCTGCTTCTATTGGCTCAAGCACTCCATGGAGCAGCGTGATTGGGCTGATCTGTAAAACAACACTGCTGTCTCTACCTTGCCTCAGACATCTTGCTGCAATGCAGACATTTATTTTTTTGTGAACTACAAAAGAATTATGTTCGAGTGATTAAAAATAGGGAACTTCAGCAGACTCACGATGCTACGTTTCATTCCACGCACAAGGACAGCTTATACAAATACGCCTCACTGTCAGCAACGTGTCTGGAGGTGCAGATTTGAAACAGATTCTAGTTTAACAAAACCTGTGGGAGCCATTTTAATACAAGCTTTTTGATTGCAGATCACTTACTCCTGCTTCCTCATATTAAACAAATATTATGTTGTGCAATTCCTGAGACCGAGAGTAAACTGCTAATGTGCACAACCTACTGTTAGGAAAATTATCTCCCAGTGTAATTTCTGTTTTTAGCAAACGAAGAACAAAAAAACGAAGTAACATCTTAGCTGCGTTAGCATCTTTGCGTATGCTGAAAAATGCATTCAAGTTGCACACAAAACTGCTATTACATGAAACTCAGTGGTACAGCACAGCAGTGTTTCAGGTTGCAAATTGAACTATAGACACTTACAATGT